CCCCCCCCGGCGCCCACTCCCTTCTCGTTTTTTTCCCCTGCGATGTTTTTCGTTGCCATCAACACGACCCGACCCCATGGCTGTGAAAAGAATTCGAACGGCCCAATGAGGTACATACCTCCTCGCCTTTAAACCCCGTCTGCCCCACTCCCCACCTCCGAATCATCGATGTCCTTTTCTTTTTTGTTGTGCCCCCTTGCTTTCTTCACAACCCGACGGACGAAAGATCTACCGCATTTTGCCGTATCGCGAACAAATCCTGGAGGGGATCCTCAGCTCCGACATCGTCGGGTTCCAGACGTACGACTACGCGAGGCACTTCCTGTCAACGGTGGAGAGCCTGCTCGACGCTAACTGCTCCCCTCAGGTGGGCGCGCCACCGTCAGTTTTTTGTGCGCATGTATGGTGTGTGTGTGTTTTTCGTGTACTGTACTACCGGCTGTGCGCGGCCATTGCACGGTATACGACGCAAGATAACACACTGCCCGGATCGATTTTACAGAGCTTGATTTCCAACAGCAGAAAGGGTCGCAGTGCCGAAAACGTAGCCTTTCGTTTTTGCATCCTCTTCGTCGTGGAGTAATCGAGTTTGGAAAATCGGTCCGGGGGGTGTATTATCTTGTGTCGTATGCGGTATCTGTTCACTCGATGTTGTCTCGGTGTGTGGGTCGCAGCCTTGTAGCTACAGCCGTACCTCGCTGAAGGACACCAAAAGTACGGACACTCTCTCGGTTAAATCACACTTTTTTTCCGAGCACGGTGGCTCGCAGAATGAACACTATATGGAGGGGTATCAACCTTATGGGCACTTCCTAGGCTTCAGGACACTTTTTTTTGTAAACAACACCTTAACCGAGGTTAGACTGTATGTACTCGATGTTGCAAGGTGCGTGTCCTCGTGTGCTGATGTACTCAGCCATTGTATCATGCAAACTCGCATGTTGTGTATGGCGAATTTTTTTCGTGTGCTGCTAGCTGTACGCAAGGGCAGCTGCATCTGTTTTTGTCGAAACGAGGCTGGTTGGAGCGGTCGGCTCGTTCTGTTTGTTTTGTTTTTCGTCTCGCTTTGTTTTGCTGCTGCTTCTTCCTCTGCTGCTTGTTGTGACGTTGTTGTTGTGACGTTGTTGTTGCTGCTATTGCTGTTGTTGCTGCTACTGCTGTTGTTGCTGCTGTTGCTGTTGCTGTTGCTGTTGCTGCTATTGCTGTTGTTGCTGCTGTTGCTGTTGCTGTTGCTGTTGCTGCTGGTACAAGGGGGTGGAACACAACGGGCACTTCGCGAACGTGACGATCTGTCCGGTTGGCATCGACCCGGATGCGGTGACGCAGCTGTGCCACCAGCCGGACGTGATGAGGCTCATGCAGCGGTGGTCCAAGCAGACCAGGGTGAGGCTCATGAGAGGTAGAAAAGGGAGAGGGAGAAACAGATAGACAGACGGACGGACGGACGGACAGACAGACGGGGAGAGGTAGAAGGGGGGGAGAGGAAGCAACGAAGGGATTGATTTCCCACACAGAAGCGAACGGCCTTTCAGGCCGGTAGCAATTTTCAAAGGTTGGGGGGGGGTGGACTAGATCGAAAGTGCTGTGCTTTTATTCCGCAAGCTATCGTGCGACTGCTGCCTTCAAGTGTATTTTCTCTTCGTTCTCGCACATTTCGTGCCTGTTTTTTTTTTTGTCTTTTTTGTCCTCGGGCGTGTTTTTTTTTTTTTCATTCTCCTGCCATATGCATATCAGCGTTTGCATTTTTGTCGCTGTTTTTGTGATGCTTGTTTTTTTTGGGTTGCGCGACCCTCTTCTTTTTTTTTTTGCTCATGCATGATTTCTTTTTGTGTGTTGTTTTCATGCATATCATTCAGAACAAGTCGATGCTTCTCGGAGTGGACAGCCTGGACGCTACCCGGGGTCTTGTGCAGAAGTTTCTCGCCGTGGAGGAGATGTTCGAGATGCAGCCGGGCCTCGCAGACAAGGTCAACTTCGTGCAGGTGCGACCGCCGCGCCGATCCGACCACCACTGGTTGTCTGGTGTTAATATCTACTTTTCAAGTGAAATAAAGGAATAGTTGGGAGGGAGGGGTGATATTGGGATATGGAGTGCGTGATTATGCTACTTTCGTGTAACAGTCTATCGGGCGATGTAACGCAACTTTAAGTATGTGGGAGGACGAGTGGACGGTCTCTTTGTGTGTTTTTTTAGCCTGTGGACGAAATTCAAAATATATGAACACCGTAGTTGGGAGGATTGACAATGTGTGGCACAAAGTACTGGTACAATATTACAGCTGGGAGAATTTATTTGCCTGACGACTGGCAGGTTTGCTTCACGGGGCCGCACTCCCGAGAGCACATGTTGCTGGAGGCGCAGGTGCAGGGCTTCGTGGCAAGGGTCAACTCCAAGCTGGGGAGTATCGACGAGGTCGGGCCGGTGCAGTTCTTCCTGAACGTCAACCCCGAGGTAAGAGGGTTGGGGGGGTGTACTCATAGTCGTGCATGCCGTAGTCGTTAAGACCATTGACCTCGCATCCCTACAAAGCCGGGACGGAGCACGCCGGGTTCTCACCGGACCAGGCTCTCACATCACCAAGCGCGAAGCGCCGTGAGATATTCGGCGAGTCGCATGAAGGGTGCGCTGCATCCTGCTAAGGGTGTTCGGCATCTTGTGCTTACTTCCTTGCGTACGGATGACAGCTTCGTATGACGTAATTTATTTTCTGGTGCTTTCACTTCCAGAGACAGTTGAAAGCACTGTGTAACTGCCTCGAG